TCTCAAAAAAAAAGTAGCTTTCAAAATGAAATATTGAAAACCCATTTCTATGTCATGAACATTCTCAGACAAACCAAAAAGAAAACCAAGTTTTCTAAAATGGTGAAAATGAAAGAGATGAGAGATGAAAACTTCGTATTACTAACAAAAGTTTGAGAAATGAAATTTCAATGAAAGCCTAAAAGGAATTCAAGAACCCAGGAACTCTTCTCTCCAAAAGTAAAACCTAATTTGTGCACAATCTCTTACTAGAACTCTCTCTCTCTCTCTCTCTCTCTCTAAAAACCCATATAAAAAATGTAAAATGTGAGAGTTAATGAGTCCATACTAGCCCCAGCCTTTTGGTATGTCAAAAGGACACTTGGCAGCCAATGATTGGACTTATAATAAGCAAAATCACGTTCCTTGGTTAAAAATCTCATGCTGAAAATATTGGCCTATATGACTGGTCATCTAGACAAATTATTATGATGCTGATGCTGATTTTCCTAATGATGCCCATTATAAATGAATGCACAAATTATCTTGGTTTTGTAGCCTCATAAGCTCTTCAATGTACTTCAACTGTTTAGCAAATAACCAAATCCTAATTTCTAAAGATAGCTAAGAACAATTACATACATGACAACTAATGATGCATGCAGGCGAACACTGTAATGCATGCAATGCATACATAAAAATATTACCTTCACTGAGCTTGATTGCATTAGGTAATTATGAAGTTGATCTCAACCACAGTAGTCAACTTAGCACTAACTTGAACTAGCCTAAATTCTTTGAGCTTGATCATACATATGAGATTACATGTTTGTCAAGGAAAGCTACAAACATTGGCTAAACAAAACTTAACAAAGATATATAGAAAAATATTTTGATCATACAAGGAAATATCACCTTAATTAAAAACATGCACCAAAGCTGAGTCCCAAACTGATAAAGCAACACATTCAATTACAAAACAACCAAAAGCAAAATACAAATGATTGAATGATTTGCCGATAATGTCCTTTATTGCATTAAGTAGGCATATGAAAATGATTTACACTTTGATGTCATGAATTATACAACAAGCTATGGTTAACTAACAAAAGTGGGTGTATTTCTTTGAGATTGTAAACATTTTTAAACAAAGTCATGTAGGTCATAGAGGTTGATATCATAATGCTTAGTAGCCCTGGAACATTGGTGGAGGTGGAGATGAGTATTGGGAACCGAAGGTTGGTGGCAGGACAAAGTCATCTATTGGAGGGGGTGATTGGACTGAAGGCGGTGGGGATTGGGTGGGTGGTGATGGTGATTGGACTGGAGGTGGGGGCGAGTAGACTGGTGATGGTGGTGGGGGTGATTGGA